GATTTCTTGCTTCTGCCACAAATTCCCCCAGCTGTGAGCCTTCCAACCTTCTAAGTATTCCTTTATATGTGGTTCAGAGTTCTGGGACCAGCCCCTGAGCCCGCTTGGTCGGGTATTCTGTGTGGTTGTTGGTGGAGCTCCTTTACTGCACGTCCACCCGATCCGCCATCTTGTTTGTTCTTGACTTAATATTTTTGAGAGACAGTCACGCCGAGATTCCAGCTGTGGCTCATTGGTTTGTAACAGCTGTACAATATTTAGGAACCCAAATGGCAATAGTGGTCAGGAACAAGCTCGAGTCACGGGTTTAGGCCTACCAGCTCTATCTTGGAATCTTGGTGTGGTGCTGTGGGATAAAACTCTGGACCACACGGTCGGTTTGAACCACAAGGTCAGCGGTCCAAACTCAGTTCAAGCACTTGGCTGCTAACCATAGGGTCAGCAGTTTGAACCCATTAGCAGCCCCTTGGGAGAGAGATGAGGCAGTCAGCTTTTGTAAAGTTACAGCTTTCGAAAGCCCACGGGGCAGTTCTGTTTTGTCCTGTACGGACACTTGGAGGTGGAATCAACTTGACAGCAACTGGTGTGGTTGTGGTTTTATTACATGGACGTGTCCTAGCCACGTCCCTGCTAGGGAACAGTTAGGCTGTCTCTTTTCGCCACCTGTCAGCAGCATGCTAATGAACCACCTTGTATGTGAATCTTTGTCTGAATCACTGATCATCTTCCCAGAACGAAGTCCTGGAAATGAGAATGAGTATTTTTGAGTTTTAATACAAATTGCTGAATCATCCTGGGGAAACCTCTCCAGCTTTCTCCAGGAACAACACCGAAAATCTCTTAGCTGACCCCAGTGCATTCATGATTGGACCATGGGGAGAGGAGGGAGAGGAGGAGGAAGACAAGGGGCAGGGATTGGGGAGGAGCACAATGGCTCTATATGGTAAACACTGGACAGCAAGCCACAAGGTTGGCGGTTCAAGCCAGCTGTTCTTCAGGTCAGAGATGAGGTTTTCTGCTCCCATAAAGATGTACAGCCTTGGAAACACTATATAGAGTCACTATGAGTTAGAACTGACTAGACAGCACTTTACAACAACATATGCATGTGTGTAACATATATATATATACACATATATTTATTTATATGTTATATATATTTTCAGGAGTACTGGTGTGGCGCTGAGTTAATGCGCTGAACTGCAAAGTTGTTTGAACCACAATGTCTGTCGGTGGTTCAAGCTCACCAGTGCTGCCTTTGAAAACCCTATACAGGGTTGCTATGGGTCGGAACTGACTTGATGGCACTTAACAACATGTATGTTTTCAGAACCAAAAAGGAAAGAATAGAAAAAAAAAAAAAAAAAAAATTCAAACCTTACCTGAAGGCTGGATGGTTTCTGATTCCTTGGTTAAATCTCTAGAGCACTACAATTTTCTTCCCATCCAATCATCCTTAGCTACAAGGCTAAGATAAAAGGAGCTCGGTTGTAGGTAAAAACTGCCCTCTAGAAAAATGGCATGGAGTCCCGTTGAAATGACAAGTTGTGGGAGACCAGGCTCTTGTCAAATTGGGAATGACAAGGCCCAGAGGATTCTGAACTCAGTAACTGGACGAGGGGACAGTTGAGAGTGTTTATAAGAGAATACAAGCCATAAAAAAAACAGTAATTGGTTTGGTTGACATGAGGTAATAGTTAAAAATTGAATGAGGGAACATCTGGTTGGTAGGAGATGGCATACATATTTCTTAAAAAGAGTGGGGTTTTTTTGTTTGTTTTTGTTACGAAATAATCATGAAACTAGGTACATCTGTCCTTGAAACAGTCACAAGCCCCTCCCTGGTGACTGTGGGAAGGACATGTGAAATTCTGGTGTATTTTGATTAAGCATTTGTTCTAAGAATTGTTTTGGACTCAGCAAGCAGAAGCCGTAAGCAAGCAACATTACATTGTTCTCTGAGATTGCTGATGGAGTGATTTCTCAGGGGAGCAGGAACCACAGACTACATCCCTGATGCAGCGGTTACACTGCTTCAGAGTGGAGTGTTAGACCCAGTCCTTAGCATGACCACGGCTCACATCAAGAGTCCTAGGTGAATTTGGGGCACTCTTACTCACCACAGATGTGCTTAAGACAGCTGGCCTAGACCTGTGAGAGCTGGTGGACACAGTCGTGGGTGGTCCAAGTTCACCACTACAGCAGAGCCCAAATATCAAGTGTCCTCTCTCTGTCTCTTAGCTCCAATTTACTGTTTCCATTTCTGCGTCCAACAGACCTGTGCTGGCCATCGTGGAGGTGGAAGTTCAAGAAGTTGATGTGGATGCCCGGGAGAGAGTTTTCCAGGAGGTCTCCTCTTTCCAGGGACCCCTGGATGCTACTGTCGTGGTCAACCTTCAGTCGCCAACCTTAGAAGAGAGGAACGAGTTTCCTGAGGATCTGCGCACCGAGCTCATGCAGACTTTGGGGAACTATGGGACCATCGTTCTTGTCAGGTATCATGGCTGGCTGGCGTGGTCCGACGTGGGGTCCCCACGAGGACCCGTGATCTCTGGCTGACTCGGCATGTTTATCTATTCCAGGATCAACCAAGGGCAGATGCTCGTGACTTTCGCAGACAGTCACTCAGCTCTCAGCGTCCTGGATGTGGACGGCATGAAGGTAGGTCATGCTGGCCAGCCATGGAGTGGGAGCTAGTGGACTCCTGTGATTTTGATAGTGTTTTCAGTGAAAACTTAACACAGCAAATTAGGTTCCCATTGGATCATTTTTATACGAATGGTTCAGTGACATGAGTGACATTTTTCATAATGTGTCACCATTTTCTTTAATTACATTCTGGTTATTTCATTGCCCATAGTCTAGTTTCCCTGGCCCCCTTATCTTCTCATCCTTGCTTTTATGGTTGACCTATTTATTGGACTCATATCGATGGCTTTTTTTTTACTCACAGGGTGATACGATTCTGCTATTTTGCCTAAAGGTGATCTCAGGAAGGACAGGTTCAGTTTAAGGTTTAAAGAGTGTCTCAGGGAGTCCTCTGGTCTGGACTTGTTAAGAGTTTTGTGGTTTTCTCCAAACATTCTGTCAGGATCCATATATTGTGATAGCTGGCCTGGCTCCCTGGGCCTGAGGAGCACTTTGTGACCGAAGGGAGCTGGTTTTCCTCACTAACGTGTGTTGATGGTCTCTCTGCCCTGGTAGGTGAAAGGACGAGCAGTGAAGGTCAGACCCAAGACCAAAGACTGGCTGAAAGGCCTGCAGGAGGAGATCACCCGGAAACGAGAGAGCGTGGCCTCCAGGTCTCCCACAGCCAATTCCTGCTTGCTGGAGGAAAACTTTGACTTCACGACTCTGGACTATGAATCTGAAGGTTAGCAACCCTGTGATGGCGTCTCCCCGGGTCTGTAGATGTGAGATTTTAGACCCCTTCTAAAGCCCTGAGAGGATCCCTGGTGGTGCGGTGGGTTAAGTGTCGGGCTGCTAACCGAAAGATAGTGGTTCAAACCCACCAGCTGCTCCAAGGGAGATAGATGAGTCTGTCTGCTCCCATAACCTCAGTCTCAGAAAGCCTCAGGAGCAGCTTTTCTGTGTCCTACAATGTGATCATGACTTGGAGTGACTCAGTGGGCGTGGGAGTTGTCTCATCCTTAACTTCTCACTGTGAACTGGGTGACGGTTTATAGAGCAGATCAGTTTTCCTTTCAACCATTCGTACACATTTTGTTTCATCTCATCGTGGGTGAGTTTGGCTGCTCTTGTTGATCAGGTGGTTGTGGAGCTCCCGAGGATCAGGTTAAGACTGGGCTGTGAGGGCACGGTTGAGGTCTTATATAGGTGAGAAAGAGGAACGCCCTCTCCCCCCACCCACCAGGAAACAATACAGAATAACAAACAAGGAGCAATCAAGGCATAAAAACTGTAAGACAAGAGGGACAGGGAAATGGAGCCATAGAAGAGAGAAAATAAAGGAATAAATATTTTAAACACATAAGGAATCCTGGTATAGCACTGTAGGTTAAGCACTAGACTGGCTGTTTTGCTTGTTTATTCTTTCGCCCTTTTCTCTTTCTAGTCACTTGAATTTTATCCTTTGTAATAATCTTCGCTTTTGTTTCAACTTCCTCTTCTATTTTTCCCCTTTGATCTTAACTACTCCCTTCATCTTCTCTCTCCAATTTTTTTCCAAATATTTTATTTCCTTATTTTCTCTTCTATAGCTCCAGTTTTCTGTCCCACTTCTATTTTTGTTAAGTGCTGCCGAGTTGGTTCTAGCCCATAGCGACCTTGTATAGGGTTTCCGAGGAGCGGCTGGTGAGCTTGAACCACTGACCTTGCTGTCCGGTGCATTTTTCTGCAGCGCCACACCAGGACTTTGTTTTTTTAGTTATTCTTAAGTGTTTCCTATTTTTCTCTTCTATGGCCCCATTTCCCTGTCCCACCTCTGTCTGGACTCACCAGACCAGCCTTTAACCAGTCACCCTGCCCCCAGCTGCCCTGTGGTTCTAACAGACACTGAAACCATCTCCACCAGGGGCCTCCACAACCTACTTCTGGATTGCATGCCCTGAACATAGACAACACCGAGGCCAATGGGAACGCCAGCTAGGGCCAGAAAGTCTGCTGTTAACATCCCTCGCACACTCACCTCGTGAGCTCCTTGGCTTACAGAGGACATTTCTACTCTCGGGGGGACTAATCTGGGGCTGGGCCTGCCTAAATCCAGGCACCAAAGTGGCTCAGCCAGTCCTCATCTTACACTGGTGTGGCTCCAAACTCCTGAGCAGGGTCTGGCTGGGGATGGATGAAGGTGGAAGCTGGCCTCCCTTCTGATCACTAGGGAAGTATGGGAAAGACGAAGGAATTGCACCTTTCCTGTTTCCTGTGTGAATGCTCAGCCCAGCCACCCACTGTGACCAAAGCTGCTCACGAGACGGCTATGCCGTGTCTGGTGGACCGTTCACCAGGCAGCCTCCCTCTCTTGCCATCCCTGCTCAGCTTCTCCTCCCAGCAAGCACTCAGCTGACCTCTCTAACCTGTCCCCTGAAGTTATCACTTGGTCTACCCACCGTGCCTTTGTTGTAGAGGTCGGTATAGTTAGTACTCCTGCTTAGTCCGCCATCTTGCTGGAAGTCGATCCAGCAGTGGGTTTCCTAAAGCCCTGCCTTGTGGGGTGGAAAGCTGGTGACCGTGCACCTTTGCATGCCCTGTGCTTAGTAGTATGTGCATGGCTCGCATCCTAGAGCCGTCTAGAGGCACACTGAGGTCGGCTTGGCCCCTGCACCTCCTGCGTGACGGGGTCATCACACCTGTGCCGCTTCAGGCTGGAACCACGCATGTACTGACCAGAGCCCGGGTGACGTGTTGAAACAGACCCACCAGTGAGCGAGTGGGCACTTTCACCCTCATTGTTGTCCTTGATCCATTTCCTGCTCCAAGGGGACATTCTAGAAGATGATGAGGATGACTTGGTGGATTACCCGCTGAGTGATGACCTTCAGGAAGCCCCCAGCTCTGCAGCTGCGGCCCCTCCTAGCAGGTCACCTGGACTCACCAGAAAGCAGCAGCAGCCGACCTATAAAGGTGGGTCAGAGATTCCTTCCCTAAACCACCTGTGGCGTTTAGTCCCGCCCAAAGCCCAGGACAAGAGTCACACTTCTATGGACTCACATACTGGTTTGTCCTGGTCACCCTAGTTGATGGGTTTACATCTTTTCTCCCTAAGAAATGCCCGCGCATGACAACCCTGTCTTCTCTTTGCCTCCCCATGGCCACAGGTCCGAATTGGCTTTAAATTTCTGGTTTCCCCAAAGAAACTTTTGAATTAACCTCATAGGCGACATTCCATAAAAAGCTGAGTTGCTGATATATTACTATATTTACATGCTATTACATTTACAATTCTTTTGTAGTATTTATTTAAAAAACAATATTGTTATCGAGGTGATTTTGACTCCAGGTAAGCTTTCCCCTGCTTCCTCCCCTGGGTTAGAGTAGAATTGCTCCATCACGGGGTTTTTTTGTCTGTAATCTTAACAGAAGTGGTTCACCAGGCCTTTCTTCTGTGGAACTGATGGGTGAATTTGAACCACCAGCCTTTAGTTTAACAGCCAGTCCCAAGCCAGTTGTGCCACCGAGGCTCTCAGGATTATTATACATTGTTGTTCTTGTGAAGTACTATCAAATTGGTTCCGACTCATAGCAACCCTGTATAGGGTTTCTGAGGAGCAACCCGTGGGTTTAAACCGCCAACCTTGTGGTTAACAATCCAGTGCTTATCCTACAGCACCATATCAGGACTGTGTATTACACATTATCATCATTAATTTCTTTTAGACCTGATTTAACCCAAAAAGAACTCACGGCCATCAAGTTGATTCCAAATCACAGCAATCCTGTATAGGGTTTCCGAGACACTAAATCTTCACAGTAGAAAGCCTCATCTTCTTTCTCCCACAAAGCAGCTGGTGGATTTGAACAGCTGACCTTGTGGTTAGCAGTCCTGTTGAAGAGGGGCTGGAAAGTTCTGTTGATTAAACAGAATCGTATAATCCCTTTGAAGGTAGTGTAGTGGTTATGAATCGGGCTGCTAACCTCAAGGTCGGCAGTTCGAAACTACCAACTGTTCCGCAGGAGAAAGACGAGGCTTTCTGCTCCCGTAAAGATTTACAGCCTCGGAAACCCTGTGTAGGGTCACTATGAGTGGGAACTGACTCCACAGTACTTAATAACAACAACAACATAATCCCTTTGAGAAGCGTTCAAACCCAGCAGAGTTACAATGGTGTCCCCAGGTGGTACGAACGGTGCTCACCCACAAGTGCTTCAGAAGAAAGGCCTGGAAACCTACTTCTGAAAAATCATCCATGGACAGCCTTGACGGCAGGTGGGAATGATAGTGGTGAAGTTGCTCACGTGGGCTGGAGAGTAGGTAGTATACGTGTCAGAGCTCTTACACACAGCCATGACCGGGACCGTCTGTGTCTCCATGGGTGACCCTGCACGCTTTGGAATCACTGAGGTGCTTCTGTGTGCTTGTCATCTAGGCGCACCCGCCCTGGTGTCAAAGGGGCGGCGTGAGTTCAGAGGTAGGCGAGCAGCATGCAGACAGCCCCACGGGAAGGGACGAGGCCGCTGCTCTCCATTCCAGCCACAAAGATGCATGGAGCTGAGCTGTTGGGCTTAAGGGACTTGTCCAAAAGAGATGAAATATGCGATGTGGCAAAAAAACTGCCCCAAACGCATCAGCTCTGAAGTTGGACAGATAATTGTTGGTGCCATTCAGGGGCTTCCTTGTTAAGTGCTCAGCTGTTACCTAAAAGGTTGGTAGTTTGAGTCTACCCAGAGGCACTCAGAAGAAAGGTCTGGCAATCTGCTTTTGAAAGGTCACAGCCCTGAAAACCCTGAGGTGTACAGAGTTGCCACGAGTCAGCATTAACTGAATGGCAGCTGGTTTGTTGGTGATAAAGCGGTTATGCCCTGCTGAACCCTGAAAGAATGTAGGAGGCAGTTAAGATGGCGGACACTTGGGGGGACGCTAGGCTTCAGTTTGCAGCGCCTGCCCCGTCAGGGGGTGAGACGTTAAAGCTGCCTCCCGTTTGGTTGGGTGAACCTTTGGAACTCTGGTTTCCAACTGTCTCCACCCTTGTGTCTGCTTCTTTGAGCATTCCCAAAGAAACCACACCGCCACTGGAACATGTCTCAGTGTCTCTGGTGTCTGGAAGTCAGACCCCACCCAAGTAGGCCCTAGTCCCCCTCCTCAGCCCCTGAGAGGATGTGGTCCACACTGGCCTGTCCAGTGGCCTCCACTCATTGCTGTCCTGCATGCCCTCCAGATGACAGCGAGCCGGCCGACTTAAAGCGGGAGCTGGAAGCCGTTGGGGATTTCCGTCACCATTCTCCAAGCAGGTCTCTGTCGGTCCCCAGTAGGCCTCGGCCATCTCACCCACCACAGAGACCCCCCCCTCCACGTAAGCTTCCCCACGCTCACCACAGAGTGGCACCCCTAACTCAGCTCTGACCCGGCTACTGACTCTCCTCTGCTTTTCTCCTCCTCAGGCCCTTTCCCGCCTTTGATGGAGGGGCCTGGTTCGCACTTATTAAGTGGGTCTTCACCTTCCTCCAACTTAGCTGCTTCCGAGGGAGGGGCTGTCCATGCCTTCCTCCCCACAGTCTACCTCCATGTGTTAGAAATATAGACCAGTCACCTGTGCTGGCCTTCTGAGGTTTCAGACCACTGGCCACTTGAGATTCTCAGGCCTGTGAGGGGAAGGGGGTCTGGTTGAGTTCCGACTCTAAACTTTCCAAGGAGCAGCTGGTGAGTATGAACTTCTGATCTTGCAGTTAGCAGTTTAGTGCTTATCCTACAGTGTCACACTAAGACTCCACTGTTGTTGAGTGCCATCGAGTCAGTTCTGACCCCCATCTAAGGTTTCTGAGGAGCAGCAGGTGGTTTGAACTGCGAACCTTGTGGTTAGCACCAGGACTCCATTAGTAACTTAAAAGTCAAGTTAAGAAGTTCACATCAGCTTCTAGTTTACTGGTCCGCCCAAGTGTGATAACCATAGAGACTTTTCAAGGCAGCACTTTCAGAACTGGGTCCTAATGGGCCCTGTATGCATCACAGGAGTTGTCTAGAGTTGTCTACTCAGAGCCCTGGTTGTGCAGTGGTTATCAGTAGTGCTAACCAGAAGGTTGCCAGTTCAAACCCACCAGCTGCTCCAGCAGAGGAAGATGCGGCAGTCAGCTCCCACACACTCCAGCCTCAGAAACCCCGTGGGCCGTTCTGCTCGGTCCTGGAGAGTTGCTGGAAGTCAGAGTCAATGCCAAGGCACTGGGTTTGGTTTTTGTTGTTTTCGTTTTTTAAAATAGTCTACTGAAAGCCAGAAGTCAGCCACGTTTTAAGCACATTTTTGCTTTGCTGAGTACAAAAGTCACCTTATTGTAGAAACTTGACAAAAATAGAGATCAGAAGAACAAGGTTTCTCCATTCAGCTCATACCTAGGTGCAACAATTGGCAATTAAAAGATTCCCAAACTGTTTGCAGTTTCAGAATTGGGAGCTGTTTTGTTTGGTAATCTTTTCCTCTAATGTGTCCTTTGCTTTTTGGTGGCTACCAGGTGTTATTTCACATCATTTGTTCCCCTATTTGGAGTCCTGGTGTGGCGCTGTAGGATAAACACTAGACCACAAGGTCGGTTTGAACTGCAAGACTGATGTTTCAAACTCACCAGCTGCTCCTTGGAAACCCTACTATGCAGGGTCACTGTGGGCTGGAACTAACTTGATGGCTCTTTACAACAACATTCCCCTATTTTGGGATGTTGAGATTTCCTTAAGCAAATGTGTAAAAAAGATCTGGTCTTAATTATAACGTTGTGCTTCAAACCTCTGAAGACGAAAACCAATGGACTTTTCAATCAATATTGAGCCCCAGTACACGCCAGACCGGAGCTGCTTGCAAACAATGCTTCTCCTTGAGTCTCCGGCCATGGGCACCAACTGTTAGGATCAAGAGAAACTGCCCAGTGCACAGATCAGGGCAAGGCCTCCACGCGAACACTAGGCCCAAACCAGGGCCTGGCTGCCCACTGCCCACAGCCCACTGGGAAGCTGCACGCAGCAGCCTGGCATTTCTACCAAGACTTAGACTCTGTGTTTGTTGGTTTTCCCAGCTGGTTTCATGGTGAAGAAATCGGTTTCAGATGTAGCCATCTCCTCCGGCACCCACGGCCAGTATTCAATTCTGCAGACAGCGAAGCTGCTGCCAGGCGCACCCCAGCACCCCGTGAGTACTTGCGCCCGCTTGAAGCACAGCGGGTCAGCCTCCCCCGGCCACGCGGGCTCTCCTCCTCTCCATTACTACCTACTTCTCTAGCTCTTGCTGCCTCTCCCTGTCGTTTACTGGGCTTCATTGAAAATGATTGGATGCACCCAGAGTACTTCACTTTGAAGAAATCATCAAGAATAACTAAGCACTAGAAAGGGACATTCTATATAAAGCCAGGGGTCAGTAAGAATGAGGGAAGCCCACACAGGGGCCACTGATGGTCACAGAGGGTGCAGAACTGAACACACATTTCATTCTTTTCTGTAAGGCTGCAGTCTTGGCAATAGTTAACAACAAAGTGGCCATACAGGGTGAGAGAGGAAATCTCTTGATGTGAACCCCAGGTGTCCCAGTTTGGTGGAAATGTTGATTTTCAGACCCACCTGTATCCCTTCCCTTTGGAGTCTGGCCTTGGCCCTTGGGGTGCAGAGCTGTGGCTGATGGGAGGCGAAACGAGATCAGTCACCCGGATGTAAAATTAGTTGAAGGGAGACTAAAAGGAGTGTTCCTCTCTTAAATAGATTCCACGCAGGCCAGAGTGGCTTATAATCATGCCTGGCACACAAGAGGCCTGAGGTTTTATCTATCTGCTAAGGTTGAGGAGATTCAGGAATGATAGGTGGATTCCTGAGAAGTCTTTCTCTCCATTCCCACAATGACAGTGTGGAATCCTGGTTGCCCCTTGGTCTTTCTCTAGCTCTTTACGTCTTGTTGAACCCTGTTAAAATCTAACACTCAGCGGCCCCTCCTCAGCTCCCAAAGTGACTGCTGTCATCTCGGTGAGTGATGGGTACAGCCAGAAGAAATTTGGGGGGTGCACTCAATGGTGGCGCAGTGGTTAAGTGCTGAACTGCTAACAGAAAGGCCAGCCATTCGAACCTACCAGTTGCTCCACAGGAGAAAGAGGAACAGCCTCGGAAACCCTCTGTGGCAGTTCTACCCTGTCCTGTCGGGTCACTGTGAGTCGGGGTCGAGTCAGTGGCGGTGGGGTTTCCACCCAGGGAGTCCCTTTGTGGTGTAAACCGTTAGCACTACTCTACTAACCAGAAGGTTGGAAGTTTAAGTCACCCCAGGAAGAAAGGTCTGGTGATCGACTTCTGAAATACCACTGCTGTGAGTCTGCACTGGGCAGCTCGTGGTCTTGGTTACTGCCCCCTTCCTGTCCTGGGCACACCAGCTGGAGTGTGTGTTTTCATCTTAAGCGCACACATTCAGATCAGGGTAAGTAAGGTTAATGTGCTTCTCTTCTTGGTCTTGTTGTCAAGCCCAAAGCCAGGACCGGAATAAGTAAACCGTACAATGTCAAGCAGATTAAAACCAGCAACGCTGAGGAGGCCGAAGCAGCGATCCGGTGCCTCATGGAAGCCAAAGCAGGTGGGTGTGTTCCTCTGCCTCTTGTTACTAAAGTACTCTTAAGTAGATTTGGTTTTTCTGGAAGCAGTATGAAATGCACATGCTGGTGGCACAGTGCTTAAGCGCTTGACTGTTAACCAGAACGTTGCTGGTCCTGACCCACCAGCTGCTCTGGGGGAGGGGCAGCTCTCCTCTGTACGGTCACCGCTTGACAGCCAGTGGGCTAATGGGTGAGATTTTGAAGGAGTCCTGGTGGCACAGTGGGTAAGCATTTGACTGCTAACTGAAAGGATAGCGGTTCACTCAGCAGCTCTGAGGGAAAAACCCTAAAAGATGACAGCCTAGGGAACCACTGGGGGTGGAGGGTGGGGGGTCTACTCTGTCACATGGGGTAGCTATGCGTCCGATATGTTGACCCCACAGCAGTAGGTTGGGTTTGGTTTTACCCCTTTGCAACATTTTGTTGAATTCCCCTAAAAGTACTTAAAAATACTTATTTTTTATGTTTTATAAGTGCCGTCATAGCCACTTGGTATAGGGTTTCTGAGGTTGTAAATCTTTATGGGAACAGAAATCCTTGTTTTTCTCCTGCGGAGTGGCTGGTGGGCTCGAACCTCCAACCTTGTGGCTGGTTAGTAGCTCAGTACTGATGCTCCGGCACCACTGTTGTAAGTGCTGTTAAGTCAGTTCTAATTCGGGGTTTACACGGAGCGGCTGGTGAGTTTGAACCACCAAGCTTGTGGTTAGCAATGGTTCCCTATATTTTATCAAGAATCTATAAAAAAACCATATTTGTCCTTTAAAATATATTGGTGGTTGTTAGATGCCATTGAGTCAGTACCAACTCATAGTGACCCTATACACAACAGAACAAAACACTGCCCAGTCCTGTGCCAGCCTCACAAAGGTGTATTTGGAGCCGCCGGCACCCCTGATAGTTACATGCACTTTGCATATGATGTCAAGTGTCCTCCAGAACTGTCCATAGACCCCATTCCATTATCCCTGTTGAGAAGAGGAGTGTGAATAACTGGGTGCTAAATTTGAGAATCGTAAAACATTTTTTTAAAGGAAAACCTGTTGTCAGTCGGTTAACCTTAGCATGTGGTAGTGATGGTGGTGACGTGCTGCAGAGTCGGTTTCGACTCATAGAACTGTGCTCCATAAGGTTTTCAATAGCCAGTGTTCTGGAAGTAGATGGTCAAGCCTCCTTCTGAGGCACCGTGGGGTGGGCTCAAACCTGTAACCTTCTGAGCATGTTAACCATTTGTACCACCCAGAATGTACCCCACTGAAACCCACTGCTATGCAGGTGACCCCCAATTCATAATGACCGTATAGGATAGAGCAGAGCTACTCTATTTCTGAGGCTGTAAATCTCTCTCATGCAGAACTGCTGGTAATTTCGAACTGTGGACCGTGAAACTAGCAGCCCGACTCATAACCACTACACTATCAGAGCTCCTCATCCTTAGAATGTAGCCCCTGTAAATGTAAGGCAGCTCGTGCTCAGCCTTTCTCTTAAACCCCCAGCTATGTAATCTTACATTCCAGAGACCCCAGCAGAAGCCCGGAGGGACCAAGGACCCTCCAAACCAGAATCCTGCCAGGTGCCCCAGCTCCTGCCCCGGCGGCCCCCACCCAGAGTTCCTGCGATCAAGAAGCCAATCCTGAGAAGGACGGGGAAGGTAAGGACCAGAAATGCCAACTCTTCGCCCTGTGTCGTCTGAACGTCTGACAGAAACGCAGCCAATTGGGTCTCGTCTCTTGTACCTTTTTGTAAGTCCTACACAGCCCCCGTTGAGGACAGTCCTATTAACTGCTCTCCGATCTTGGCTGTTGTTGCTAAGAGCCATCGTTTCCGAATCATAGCAACCCTCTATAGGGTTTCTGAGGAGTGAGTTTGAACTGCCGACCTTGCAGTTCAGTACTGATCCTACGGAGTCACACCAGAACTATAGCAGAAAAGCAAGTTTCTTCTGTCTTTCTGCAAGTTCTCTCAGGGACAAGAACAGCTTTAAGTCGATGGGAGCCCCCACACCAAACCATCAGGGCTTGCTTTTTCCCTCAGCATCCCAGCTCTCCCCACCTGTCCCAATACTGCCTGTCTGCGCATGGTCAGCGTCATGTGCAGGTAACTTCCCGGGTACAGCTTTCTCTTCACAATCACCCATTCCTAGGGGAGCAGCTTGGCGAGCCCTGAGCAGCCGGCACCCCCCATGGCTTCTCGCCACTTCTCTTGCAGATTGTCTTGTGTTCTCACGTACCAGCTGCTCAGCCTTGCTTGCTGCTTCAGAGACACGAGTTTGTAAGGACAGTGGCCGCACAAAGACTGAGCCCCATAGGGACATCCGGATCTTCAGTGTGATCTCGGGGTCTAGTGGCAGGACCCTCGGTAATCCCTTGTCCTGTCATCGTAGGGTGGCGCGGTTTCACCCGCAGACAGTGTGGCTCCCGCTTGGCCGGCCGTGCTGACGTTCTGGTGCCGCTCTCCTTTCTCTGCGGGGGGCTCGCTGCCATCTGCCCGTTTTCAATTCCTGCTTAAAACTGCGTCTCTTTCCTCTTCCCATTCCCTGGACTTGTTGTGTCTTTTCATTTCAAAGCCAGGCGCAGAAATGGGTCTCTTTCCCCAACCTGCCACACAGGAGTTACCATCAAAGGGATTGTCTGTCTTTTGGTTTGTTTTGTAAACAACCCAAGAAAATATTGGAATGCCAGTGTTGTGCTACTGCCAAGAGTTAAGTGCTCGGCTGCTCACTGAAAGTCTGGAAGTTTGAGTCCACTCCCTGGTGCCTCAGAGGAAACGTCTGGCCATCTACTTCCCAAACATCAGCTTCTGGAAACCCTTTGTAGCGCAGTTCTACTCTGATCCACACGGGGGCGCCATACACTGAGGTCACCTCTGGCAGTTGGCATTGGGAAGCTCCTGAACCATTTCTGTAGCGAGACTTCACTTTGTGTCATTACTTGATGCTCATTTTGAACCAGAACTAAGGAATTAAGAGACCCTGTGAGGCATGTCCCCATTCTTCTACATTTAAATATGAGGTCCAAGGGGAAAGCGGTATCTCCTGGTCCTTCAATTAGCTTATAAGTTGGAATCACCTCGATGGAAGGGAGATTGGGTTTGGGGTAACAGGAGTCACTTATCTCGAGCCTGGACCAGTATTCTCAGCCTGCACAGGAGCCTCAAAGAATAAGGGGAAAGCTAAGGTAAAGGGGGGGAAATTAATTGTCTCGAATTGTTCGCTGTGGTCCTGGTTTTAAAATGTCAATTCTGTTTTGTGAGCGCTTGGTGACTCTAGGACCTGTATGTGTTCCTATCTGGTCACCAAGTCGGCATCGAAGACATCCTTGAGTCTTGTGTTTGTTGGTGTGTTGGTCCAGCCCCAGCTCTGACCTGCATGTTCTTCGAGGTTCGGCTTCTGCATGCTGGTTTTGTATTGATGGTCTTTGTCCTATCTTTTTGCAGCCCTTGTCGCCGGATGAGGAACAGAGGGCCCATTTTACAATCGGCCCCCCAGAGACAAGCAGTGAAACCTCTTCTCTAATGACAACTCCTCAAGTTCCTCCTGTCCCCAAACCCAGAACATTTCAGCCTGGGAGAAGTGTCGAAAGGAGGTCAGGCGCTGGGAAGCTGCCATCAGATGAGGCCCCACCAGCCCTACTGGAGGTCCCGCCTCCTGTGCCCAAGGTCCCCCCGAGGAGGAAGAAGTCAGCCCCGGCCGCCTTTCACCTTCAGGTCTTGCAGAGCCACAGCCAACTCCTCCAGGGCCTTTCTGGCCAGGTGGACTGTCCACCCAGCCCCTCGCTGGACGCTGGCTGTCTCCCCCCACGGACAGATTTTCCTGGCACATCATCTGCCACAAGCCCGGATGTGGAAGCCACCAAGGAGACCAAGTCAGAAGCAGCCTCCCTTTGTGGTGATTACCAGGATCCCTTCTGGAACCTTCTCCATCACCCTAAATTGTCGGATTACTCCTGGCTGTCCAAGAGTTCTGACCGGTTGGACTCAGGGGCCAGGAGCTTTGAAAGGGCATGCGTGGAACCCCCACAAGTCAGTGCTTCAGCCCCAAAGGTGGAGCCGCTGCCAACAGACCACGGGCAGAAGGGCTTTGGACACTGGGTGACACTCAGTGACCAAGACAACCGGACAACGCTGCAATTGTTTGACCCGCTGGCGAAAACATGACTGAGCGGGCTTCACAACTCCCTCACTAGGAAAACACTCTTCCTCACCCCTCAGTCTGCAGAGACAGCTAGTGATTGATAGGCACGTGAAAAAAACCGTGGACTTCTGTGACTGTTGAGCAATGTCTCATACCTGAGAAGATTCTTATTAATCAGCCACCAAAGTATGTTTTACTCAAGACTTGCGCATCTTAGGTTTTCTCTCAGGGGCATGGGGACTTCCTCCTACCAGAGTCAGTATGTGGACGTTCGTGGAAATCTAGCAGATAATGCCCAAGAAGTTCTCCTCCATTGAATTTTTAATGGTTGTTCAGTCTCCATGTCTTGTGGTATGTTTTTGTCTTTTTTTAAAATAATTTTTGTGCATATTTTACAGATGTGGGGTAACTGGTGATCCACTTGAGGCCTGAGGTTAGGATCTGTTCAATTTAAGGGTAGCTGGGACCATTGATCGCTGTACCTGGACCACTTAAACCAGGTTAACAAGCGAAATTGGAAGATGGAACATTCCAGTAGGCCCCTGTGTTGAGCTCTTGACTGTGTGGTCCCGAGGAAAATGGCAGAAACATTCTTGATTCTGAAGCACAGAGCATCAGCTTAACCTGGGGGGAAAGACTCCTTAGATATAACTGCACACACCCACCCCACCCCCACCGCTGAAAAGGAGCTCTGGCAGTGCACTGAGTTAAGTGTTCAACTGCTAACCACATGATCAGCCACTCTGAGGGTGAAAGACGAGGCCGTCTGCTCCCATCCAGATTTATAGGCTGAGAACCAGCAGCTGTGCTCTATCCTATCCGGTCATTATGAATTGGGGGGGTCAGCTGAATGGCAGTGGGGTTCAGTGGGGTACATTCTGGGTGGTGCAAACGGTTAACGTGCTCAGCTGCTGCTCAGAAGGTTGCAGGTTTGAGCCCACCCCACGGTGCCTCAGGAGGAGGCTTGGCCATCTACTTCCAGAACACCGGCTATTGAAAACCTTACGGAGCACAGTTCTACTGTGAGCCACATGGTGTCAGACTCTCACTACTGGGCATGCGTTGCTATCATTCCAAGCCCTGGCTGCTACTTTATCCAGTTTTCCTGCACCATCTATACTGTATTCTGTGAAGGCTCATGGCTGCTTTTTCTCCCTCCTGGTGTGGCGCTATAGGATAAGCACTGGACCGCAAGGTTAGTGGTTCAAACCCACCAGTCGCTCCTCAGAAACCCTACTCAGGGTCTGAGTCAGAACCGACTCGGTGGCACACACCCCCACCACCATCATTCCATACCAGGGAGTCCTGGTAGCAGAGTGGACTACACACTGGGTTTACACAGTTCGAACCCACCAGCCACTTCACAGGGAAAGAGGAGGCTTTCTGCTCCCGCAAAGATTCACAGCCTCTAAAACTCTCCATAGGGTCACTGAATCGGAGTCGACTCCAGGGCAGTAGGTGTGGTTTGATTCCACACCGGGCAAAATCACAAAGCATGAGAACTCACGCCGCATCGGCCTGATTCTCCACCGTGAGGGTCTTTTGTTGGAACCCGGCTGCCTCCCTATTAGTTCAGGGAGGAAAGCTGGCTACAAGAAGCCCAAGGCCAGTTTCTAATTTGCTTGTTTACATGCTACCATGTGTTACTTCCCTGCATGTTTTTTCTAGACACTGCCCACTCTATTCCTTACCTGGTCAGTATTTGGAAACGGTATTACCATACTGTTGTGCTTTAAAAATAGATATATATTAATAATGTTATAAAGTTTAGATGCCTTTGGGAGCTGAACTGGGGGTTTTGCTAAGATGATGATCTGGAAAATGGTAGCAGTTCCTATTCTGTGTCCACACCATAGAATCAGGCAGCAGAAATACTGACATCGCATCTGGGACCCTGGCGTTTCCAGGACTAAAAGCTAACGGCCACGATGTCATTAATGATCCTACCTATGACCTTTTTACCAATCCAATCTTTGGGGGCTCAGAACTATTCCTCAGTACCACCCGTCATGACACATGACCGGTGACTTCGATTAGGCATTCAGAACAACCTGTGTCTCATTTCATCTGACACGTGATCAAAGACAACAGACACACAGGTAAAATACTCTGCTCACCAGTCACACACAAATGGTTTTTCTGTATCATTTTTATGAAATCATTTTGTATCATTTTTACCTCTGTGTAATTCAAGATGCAAACAGCATAATCCTTAAAAGAATTCAGGGCCAAAAGCCAGCCAGAAAGGTAGTGATGCTGAAGTAGTTCAATCATTTGCCAAGGTTCACATGGCCGTTGGCAGATATGATTGGGAATGGAAAATTTCTTCATTCAATGTTCCTTTTCCATAACCCTTCTACTCCCACCAAAAGGAAGTGGATTTGAAAGCACAGAGAAGCAAGCATCACAAAAGTTGCTTAAACAGTAACCAAACTATACTGAAAACGGCATTTCCTTCAAGGTCAGCACATGTTAACTCAAGTAGTTCTTAAGAATCCAACAGTTTAGTCTTAATGCACAGAATTGGAGTGAGTTGGGAAGGTGGGTCTCAAGAGAAATGAGTAGCTGAACATGAAGAATTGAACAAATGTCATTAGATCCTGGGTTTTCGAGTATCTGAGGTGAGTTTGAGTTGATGACGTGAAGTTCTATCTTCAGCTCTGTCTCACTTTTTATAAGTGTGCTTGGAATCACCGTATTTTTTCAAATCAATGGGATCCTAGGCTAGCAGCAGAGTCCGATTGGATAATCTAGACAATGAAGAGCTGGCGTCTTTCCGTGTGTTTTGAGTTTAAGTCTTTATTTGAGCCATCCCCAAGGGCTTTTTTTTTGGCGTGATCTTCTGGTTTATTTTGTTGCCAGAGGATCACACCGGAAGAGGTTCCGGAAGATGTCATAGTTCACTGCAGTCTTCTAGGGATTGTATTTGTGATTCGGAGCACTTTGGTGGTGCACAAAGTTAACACACTTGGCTCCTAACCAAAAGTTTGGAGGTTCAAGTCCACACAGAGGCATCTGATAAGAACTGATGTTTTACTTCCATAAAATCCACCATTATAAATATTAGGGTTCCTTGATGAAAGAAGTTTGGAAATGTTCCATTTTTTATTGTTTTCTAAAACCCTGTGGAACACAGTTGTATTCTAACACACCATGAGTTGGAATCAACTTAGCAAAAAGCGGTTACAACATGATCTTCTCAGACTTTAAAAAAAAAATGATTCTGGTAGGTCACTAAAATTAGGGCACCTGCCCACACAGTTCTGTAAGAGCTTAAAAACGGTTGAAGTTCAAGACGCTTGGTAGTTGTTTCTGATGTAATGTTATCACTAAGCAAAGTCATGTATTAAAGCATATGCTATCTTATTAATTAAGGAAGTCATTTCATCAGGAAGGAGGAAAAAAACACTATTTATTGGGGGTGATTAGCAATTCATGAAAAGCCTGTAATGTTTATTATGAATGAAAATTTATACTGAAGTTGTAAATACCTATTAAATGTCTTTTTTTTTTTTACTTTGGCTTCTCTTTTCAGACATGAGAACCCTGAGATCCCTTCGTTTTGCTAGGTTTCCGATCTCAATAAAGTGTGACCATTACCAGTCCTTTCTCCGAGTTTCGTTTTGTTTTCTTTTGGGTTCCGTTTTGCCATCAAGCTAAGTTGAAACGGAGGCAGAGTAATCATTTGGAGAATGTCTGGCTGGATTCGGCAGCAGGACCTCCTGCTGGGACATACTAAGTAACTACGAACTGTGGGACAGTTCTCTGTCAGACGGGAGTGCATTTTCTATAGGAAACTTTTATCAAAGTTATAAAGGCTTAGGCTTCTCTGTAGGCAAGACAAGACTGACTTTTCAGGCGATTTCATCAATTTGTTGTTAGGTACCATCGAGTTGGCACCGATTCATAACAACCTTACGCACAATCACTGCTATGTTTGAGCCCACTGAAGCTGCCACTGTGCCAATCCATCGCGTTGGGGGTCTTCCTCGTTTTCTCAGACCCTCCACCTTATTAACCATGATGTCCTTCTCCAATGTCTTGTCCTATCTATATTGTCCGAAGTATGAGAGACATACTGGTCACCAAGGAGCACTATGACTTCACTTCTAACAACACAGATCTATTGGTTCTTTTGGCAACCCATGGCTTTTTCAAGATTCTCCTCCAACACCGTAACTCACATGCATCAATTCTTCTATGATCTTCCTTATTCATTGTCCAACTTAACGCATGCATATGAGGTTATTGAAAATACCATGGTTTGGGTCAGGCGCACCTTAGTCCTCAAACTCACATCTTTCCTCTTCAACACTTTAATCAACACTCTAAAGAGGTCTTGTGCAGCAGATTTTCCCAATGCAATATGTATAATCAATACAAAATTGATTTATAAATGTAAAATTCACCAATATAAAATTGCTTTTAGTCTTAGATGCAAACGTGTGAGACTTTACTTAATTCCTTTGACCCTTATAACCTGCTGTATTTAAACATTGTT